ATTTGGGAAGTACTGAAATATGGGCACTGGGTATAAGCTCATGCCCAGTGCATATATTTTAAGACTTCACAAATATTTTCGGTTTGGGCACGTCTGAACCTGAGCTCCTCTGAACCCGATAGCAACATGAGGCCACCCACTTAATCAGCTGCTGGTTGAGGCATTCCCTGCCTGAAACTTCATATAAACAAAGAGGCAGGATGCTTGTGCTGACATCATTGACCTTATATGGCCATATTACATATTAAGTCAATGGCTAAATAAAGCCATGTGGCTATATAAAGGCCATAATAAATATATATATATATATATATATATATTAGTGTCACAGCATCCCGGCTCTTTGCTTAGGTGCAGCTCGAGGAATTCCACTAACTGTTTACCACATTGAGATTAGGGCCCACCACCTCCTGATTCTAAGCACCATCATTAAACTGTCAAATGGCAAAATGTTGTGGGCAGTAGAGATCCTGGCATCTGAAAAGGGGGATTAGTGTTGGGAGAGGGTGTTGTAGGACTATGAAGATAAACCTTTAGGCCTCGTTCACACCAGATGCAGTGCGTTCCGGCTCGATTCTGGCTAGAACGTACTGCCTTGCATTACGTCCGGCTCACTTTTTTGTGGGGCAGGAGGGGGAGTGGCGGTCTATTGAAGTATTGACGTGAATGGCACCGTAGCCCTGCCCTCCATCCGCAATGCAATCGCCCATACGGGATCGCAAGGCACATTATGCCTGCGGTCTGTTGCAATCAAAATGCTGCAAGCATTCACACTGCATCTGGTGTGAACGAGGCAAGTAAATTCACTTTTCCTGACCTTGTATGCGGTCCATGAGCTGGTGAGTGGCAAGTCTCATCATACTCCTGTAAGAAGAGTGACAGCTGTTTTAATTCTGACAAATACTCTTTATTGACATATTCATGACAAGGGGAAATCTTTGTTTAAGCCATGATGGAATGTCAGGCATGAACTCAGCATTTAGCAAGTCACCAGCAGTGACAGATATAGAGCTACGCTATATGACCAAAAGTTTGTGAACACCTGGTCAACACATCTATATGAGATTGTTGGACATCCCATTCCAAAACCATCTGTATTAATAAGGAGTTGACCTCCCACTTTGCCGCTATAACAGCCTCCACTTTTCTGGAAGCCATTTCCAAAAGATGTTGGAGTGTGTCGGTGGGAATCTGTGTCCATTCAGACAAAAGAACATTTGTGAGGTCAGGTACTGATGTTGGATGAGAAGACCTGGCTGGCAAATGGCATTCTAATTCATCCCAAAGGTGTTCAGTACCCTACATATATTATGGCCTTTGTGGTCAGAACTCCGTGCAGGACATTTGCGTTCCTCCACACCAAACTGATAAGGCTGAATTACTAAAAGAGCTGAGAATCTTCACTGAATACATTAAGGGGGATATTCACTTAGCTGCCGATCGCAGCCGAGTGAATAACCAAGCTGAAGTGAAGTGAGCCGAACGCTGTTTGGCTATTCACTTCAGCCTTGTAAGGTTGATTTCAGCCATACATCGGCTAAAATCAGCCGTACATCAGCTGCCTTCGGTCAGCCGAACGTGCTCTGATCTGAAGTGCAGGAGGACTTCGACTCGGCCGATCCAACATCTGGATCGGCTGAGCCGAAGCTCCGGCAGCTCACTCGCTGCCGTTCGCCCCTATTCTCATAGGGCCGAACGGCAGTAAGTGAATAGCCGAATGCCTCCAAGTGGCATTCGGCTCGGCTATTCTGCTCGGTACCTCTGAGTTACTGAGCAGAATAGCAAAACAGTTATATGAATGGAAAAAAAAATAGAAAAATAAAAAAAATATGTTAAAGAAAAGAAATAAAAAAATAATAATACAAAAAAAAAAACGCACACCGACCCGACCGCACGCGACGAAACCCCCGCCGCATAATGAACCATCTGACAGATGCCGGAAAAATAAAAACAATTGGGCGGAGCTAGCGAAGACAGCTAGCTCCACCCAACTGTTTCCTATTGGCCAGCACCTGCCAGAGTCTTCTAGCAGGTCCTGGCCACTGAATAACAACTGGGTGGTGCCTGTCGTGATGTCATGGCTGGCTCCGCCCAGTTGTTATTGTTTAATGACAGATCAGCATCCCCAGGCCATTTGGGGACGCTGATCTGTCATTACAACTGGGCAGAGCGAGCCGTGAGATCATGGCTGGCACCGCCCAGCTGTGATTCGCATGGAGATCGGTCGGCTTTGGCTCCTCGGGTGTCACTACGACTCAGCCAAGCCTAAGCATATGCGTTCGGCTCGGCTGAGCCCCTCGGGCTGCCTTCAGCTGCTGTACGGGCTATAGTGAATAGCCCGTACAGAAGCCCTTCAGTTCCACTGAACCGAAGGGCAGAGGCAGCCAAAGCGAGCCGAAAGATCAGCTGAAGCTTTGTCTTGATCCTTCGGCTCTTTAGTGAATAACCCCCCTAAATCACTGCAATTATCTAATGCAAAAAACAAGTTCACATTCTTTACCTGCACCTTAATGGGGATTCAATGTAAACAGGAATTCGTTTTTTTGGATGATTAGATAATTGAAGTGAATAGTTAGTGAAGATTCTCAACTAGTACAGTAAATCAGCCTCAATGTCTTCATGGAGCTGGTTTTGCACACAAGGATACAGTCACGCAGGAGCAGAAAAGATCCTTCACCAAAATGTTACCACAAGGTTGGAAGCTCACAGTTGACTAAAATGTCTTTGTATGCTGTAGCAGCAACAGCACCCTTCACTGGAGACAACTGAACTCAGTAATATAAAGAGGTGTCCTCACATTTTTGGGCATATAGTATATTTCTTTTGTGCGTTTTCCACACCAAGAGAAGAACCTGGATTCCATTACTCCCCACCTTCACTGACTTCGTTCCCTAGGTTGTCAAAACCTTTCGCAGAACTGATGAAACAAATGGAGCCAGTGTTTTGCTCAGGAAGCAAAGAGAATAATGGACGCTTTATAAAAGTGGTTTTGTCAGCAATGTCTTGTTTAGAAGCGAGGAGGTTTAATAGATTTCCCTCCCTGTTCTTAATAACGTTTTTTTTTTTTTCACATTACCTCTTTTCCACTTGAATCACATTTGCTCTGCATTCCTCATGGTCTCAATTTGTAATAGAAAGTATGTTTTCAAATACCAGCATCTGAAGCAGACCCAGTGGCGTAACAATCGCCATAGCGACCCAGGCGGCCGCTATGGGGCCCGGGCAACCTATACTAAATACCCTTAATCCTAAGCATACTCTTAAAGTAAGGCCAGAGATATACCTACACATGGCAGTAATGTACATGTGCATTTTACCGCATGTTACCCCAACACATGATCCACGTTGCAGTGCCGTTCAATGTGAATGTCACCCCAATGTATATTGCAAGAGTACGCTGTTGTGTATTGCATTTAAAAAAAAAAAAAAGTTAGTGTTCAAATTTTCTTGTGGTTGTGGTGTGTTGGTGGCCTATTCAAAATGAATGGGATGCCTTAACAGTGCACACATTAACGCACTAAATAAAGCACATCAATGTGCATGTCGTAAATCAACAATCAACAATCAATCAAATAGGGGCCTAAATGTTTAAAGTATAATTAAACACTCAGGGTTTTTTTTTTTTGCATATATCTACTGCTACCAAGCAGTAGATATATGCAAACACATTAAAAAAAAGTTACCAAATAGGTTAAAACTTACCTGTGTCTCCGCCGTGCGCTCCCATCTGAAGATCTGAAGATTTCTGGGTGGCCCCAAAGGGTCATGGGGCGGGCGCATGTGTGGTAGAGATCTTGGGCCGGGAGAAGAGGAGAGACGCAGGGTAAGTCAATGCAAGCAGCCGGCAGCGTGCCGCCGCACAGGCTCCATGGGACACAGAAGACACAGCAGTCAGCGCTGGATCAGAGACCGGCACCAGCGCTTCAGCAACTCCTGAAAACTACAGGAAAGAAGATGATCGGATCAAGAGGCATCATTTAAGGTAAGTCCTTACACCATCATTGGGGGGGAATTTAGACTTTAATACCTGTTCTGCAAAAACTTCTGCATCTGATTGGCTGGTCCTGTGACCAAATACTGAGGCATTGATAACATGATCTCGGCTATAGTGGCTTATGAAGTGTCCAGGAGCAGCCAGTATTCGGCGTCGGGGGTTGAGGTAATCCCAGTCTTTACAGCAGAAGATTTGGCTAGGGGTTTCCGGCTGGTATGATGACATCACGGGTCCTTTTGCATTTCCTCTGGTGGCAACGGTAAGTAGTCCTTACTACTGCACGGAACGGGTCTCACGTCTACATCCTCTTTAAAAGTAGCTGATGCCTCTGAGCCTGGCCTTACCTGTAAAGTCTTCTTTTTGAGTGCATGGGGGGGTAATCCCAGATTTGGATGCATGCACTATGCTCTTCAAGTCCAGCTCCAGCAAGTCTTCAATCCTATACAGAAGAAAAGAAGGAGATAAGGAGAAATGAGTCCAGTGTGTAACACCAAAGTATGGAGCCTTGCATGCAGGAGATGGAAGAGAAGGGAAAAAAATTGGCACAGCACTTAAAATTTGAGGGGATGCTCCCTTCTTTTTATGAGGATTCAGAAGGTATAGCAGTGTTGATTATAGGTTAATGTATTAAAATAATATAAACCAGCACATTTCGAGCATCTGCATTCCCTTACAAAATCAAGGCTACAGCAGAACCAAATGTATATCGTTCTATCATAGCCCTGATAAAGGGAACACGCATCATGGAAACACATTGCCTTGGTTCTCTTTTAATAAATTGACTCGTAATCAACAATGTTATACCTGAATGCTCATTATAAGGAGGGAGTAGCCCCTTGAAATTTGAATGTTGTACCTGATATGTTCTCTACTCCTTATGACTAGCCTAAGCACTTCATCATGGTGACCAACCCATGTGCGGGGTGGACTTGCTTGTTATTATTTTCCAGCTGCCTCTGCACATTGTTTTAAGTTATGATCATTTATTCTTTTTTTTATCTTGTAGGAGAAGGAAAAGCTCTATGTGGAGCTGAAGCTAATTTTGGCGCGACAACCAGGACCAGAAGCCGCTGAGCAACTGCAGATCTATCAGCAGACACTACGGGAAAAGGGAAAACAACTAAAGGCAAGGAGCCCACAGCATGTGCACGCTTGTGTGTGATGCCCCCTCAGCTGTAGGATTGCAACAAATAGGGAATTGCTTTAAACAAAGCCAGGGATAAAAATCCAGGTTTTAGTGGTTGCAGAGCAGTCATCTTGTGGTCCATCTCAAGTTCTATTCATGTTGAAAAATGTAGAATATTGGAAAGGATTTAAAGGAGAACGATGAGGCGAGTGAAAATCACTCAGCCTTATAGTTCTAGCCGACCTGTGACAATGAAACTGTCACAGGTCGGCTCAATAGATCGGGAAGTGAGCGAATACATACTGTCGATCGCTCACTTCTCGATCTATCCCTGCAGAGAGCCGTGACTGTCACTCACGGCTCCGTGCAGGGATTCCCCCCTCCCTTGTTCGATCCTCCAGCGCTGACTGGCGGATCGGACGGGGGAGGGGGCGGGTACAGCTGGCTCTGCCTCTAGATAGGCAGAGCCAGCTGTCAATCCCGCAGCTGGGTGTATCTCGACAGTAATGTCGGGATCCGTCCCGGCTGCGGCGTCTCAGTATACCGCGAGCTGTAGCGCCGGGTATACTGAGCTTAGGGTGACGGGAGGACGCTAGTTTGTGTCCTCACGTTACCCTTAGGAGAAGTATGGGGAAAAGCCCTGACCCCAATGCTTTCTGGCTGATGGCAAATACACTCCAGCAGCCCTTGTGGGCACTAAGGGTGGGCTTGAAATAGGTGACTACACTGGCATGAGCTGGCCAGTTCTCAAGTCCTGATGGGTCCATCTGGAGCCATCTTTGTTTACGTCCAACGGTATTAGTTACTCTATATGAACTTTAAGGCCAAACGTTTGTGGAGACCTGACCTTCACACCTATATGAGCTTGTTAGGCATGTTATTCCAAAATCAGGGGCATAAAATCAAGCACACTGCTGTGCCATCTCCATTAACTAAAATTAGCATACAAAGAGCCATCAGCCTTTGCCCAGCCTTGTGGCAACAGTTCCGGGAAGATTCTTTTTGTTCTAGCATGATTGTGTCCTGTGATATTTGGGGAGGTTAGCACATATGGGGAGCGCTTAAGGACACGTCTCTGAGCCATTTAACAGAAAAAAGAACAGTCTTTTATTTCTTCAAAGGCAGACAACCAAGGAAGTTCAACATAAAAATAGCTTTCTTCAGCATAACAACATATATTGTCTCACCAATTCTCCAGTTGTCCCACACACTCACAGTGTCCCAGTCCTTTAAAGTTTTTCTCCTGCAGCAGTGCTGCTCCGGCCTCAAGCCTCAGGGACACTGGCTGTTTCCTCCAGCCTCCCTGGCTGTTCCTGGTGTGGCTCCAACACACCACTAGCCTTAGCCCTCATGTGCCTCCTGCACACACCACACCTGGCTCCCCTAGGACTTCTGGGTGGAGTCCTCCTGACTTATGAACACCTCTGTTTCTCTTCCCAGCTGGAGCTAGGGTTGCCACCTTTTCTTCAAGCGAAACCCGAACACCCTAGCGACACACGGAAATTTTTGTGGGAGAATGAGCTGTGGCATATGTAAATAGCGCCACCCATTCATATGTAAATATCACAGTTGAGACTATTTTCAATGGAGGGCCAGTAGCCCCTATCGTAATTTTGGTTGCCCCTGTCTGCCTGACATCATGTGTCCGGGTTGAAACCCGAACACAGCATTCAAATCCTGGACAGGTGGCAACCCTAGCTGGAGCCCAGAGCATTAGCCAGCACCCTTTCCATAAGGGCTGTGCACAGGTGTGCAATCACCAGGTGCTGGCCCCTACTATACCACGGACCCAGGAATGGAGATTTCATCCCACCCAGAGCTCTAAGGAATCTCCCGGCTCCAGGATCCCAACTATAATCCAAAAAACCTTGAAAGGACTGAGAAGCCAGCTCTTTCCTGGTACAAGCAATTGCTTCCTGGAGCCACTCAGCCCCTCGGCTGAGAATCCTGGGTGACTTTGAGGCCACCTAACACTGTGGTATTGCCAAGCAATGCCACAGTCCCTATGTACAAAGCCAGCTCCATAAAGACATTCTTTGACCAGTTTGGTGTGGAGAAACTTGAGTGAACTTCTCTAAGTCCTGACCTCAAACCCCTTTGGAATGATTTGGAACACTGATCATGAGCCAGGTCTTCTCATCCAACATCAGCATCTGACCTTACAAATGTTCTTTTTCCGAGCAGAATTAATGCTGTTCTAGAGTAAAAGAGTTGGCAAATCCATATTAATGCTCATGATTTTGGAATGGGATGTCCAATAAGATCGTATATGTGTGATGGTCAGGCGTCCACAATCCTTTGGCCATTTAGACCCGGTTCACATTGAGCGATTTATCGCGCAGTAATTCCCGCGCGATATCGCGCTCCAATGCAATCCAATGGGGCAAAGGGTCCTGCTGTCGCGGATCGTGTGTCGCTACAGCAGGACCCTTTTTGGAGCGGATTTAGCCGCAATGCAAGCTTGAACGCGACATCGCGCGGCAAATCTCGCGATGTCGTGCAATATGCAAATTGCGCGACAAACGCGCGATTTGCATATCGCGCAGTGGGAACGGGGCCTTAGTGTATCTAAACCTGAAGAGGGGTTGTGATTACAAATAGACATGTGCACTGCCAAAAAAAATTGTTTTGTTTCGTTCTGATTCGGATTTTGTGTTATTTCGTTTTTTGGGATTCTGGTGTGAAAGTCCGGAATTCGGATTCGGCCGAAATTCGTTAGCGGTAGTTCGTTCGAACGTTCGTTTCGGTTTCGTCTCTTGTTCGTTTGCAGCAAAGTGACATTTGAGGGGGACATTTTTTTCTCTCCTTCTCTAATGTCACTTTGCTCCAACGAACGAACAAAACGAATAAGAAACTAAAACGAAACGATTGTTTGAACGAACTACCGCTAACGAATTTTGGAAATGGAAATTCGGATTCGTTTGCATTCGTTATATCTGTAATTCGAATACATCCGAATGTCCGAAAATTTGTCCGAATTTCGATTCGGAACGAAACGATTCGCACATGTCTAATTACAAATACTGTTTGTTATTGTGATGCCTTCTTTACCCCGATCGCTACATCTTTAAGGAGTCCTTGTTGGTTGGCACAAAATATGACTATGCCAATTTTAACTCACAGAAACATCTCTCCTTTTTGTTCTTTTAGGCTCTTTCATCAGAACTGAACATGTACGAATCTCAGAACCAGGAATACAAATATGAGATTGAGAGACTGGCCAATGAGCTGCAGAGCGTGAAGAAGAAATATCTTTCCCAAAAACGTAAAGAGCACCAAGCCAGGTAATAGTGTTCCTTGAATTGTTTAATTACAGCCTCCACTACTGGAGCAGGGCACAGCTGCAGGTTCTTCCAAATGCCCACCTCCCTTCATATACAGTACATATTCAATTTCCCTTTGCTCCTCAACCAACCCAAGTATAGAGATCATGTGATTCACTCCCTTTACTCTGATGTTTGAAACTATAGATGGGAGTTCTTGGATCTAAACGTTGGTTTAGATTTTGGAAATACTAAATGAACTCAGTAATGTAGAGCGCTGTGGCCTTGGCTAAGCAGCTTTTCTACAATAGAGAGCGCCACACCATCAGTAATGAGTCTTAGTAAGTTTATGCCATCATCACAAGACAACAAATTGAATGTGTTTATATTTATTTATAAACATTTATTTTTTAGCCCTCATGAAAAGATTGGTCCATTTAATGTGAAGCTGTGGCCAGACTATGGCCATTATTTTACTATTTTACATATTCTAACCGACAGTAAATAATCTTTAGAACTATCCCTCACTAACTTCTGTAGCTATAGGCACCATGGAGTTACTCAGCCTCAAAGATCACAAAAGAGACTGAAGTAGACATGTAAGCTGCAGAAAAATTTGGTTTGGTTCGGATATTTCTTGATTCAGATCAGAATTTCGGTTCGGTTTTTAGAATCAGACGAAATCCAAATTTTTGTTAGTTTCGATTGAGTTTACGAGTATTTGTTGCGAATACCACAGAAAACCATATACAGATATTAATAGTAAAGCTGAATCTCCTAGACCCTAATGGCATTTGGGATCCGAATTTCCGAATTGCATTCGGGAGCTCCCGAATGCCACTCAGGTCTGGGAGCAATATACATATATTTTATAAAGCTGAGGCTCCCAGACCCGAATGGCATGCGGGATCCGAATTTCTAAATTGTATTGGGGAGCTCCTGAATGCCATTCGGGTCTGGGAGACTCAGCTGTAGTAATATATGTATATGGCTCCCGGACCCCAATGGCATTCAGGAGCTCCCCAATGCAATTTAGAAATTCGGATCCTTAATGCATTTCGGGTCTGGGAGCCCCAGCTTTAGTATTATATGTATATACTGTATATGGCTCCCATGTTGCTGTAACGAAAATTCTTGTTCAGACCCATTCGGATGCATTAAACCGAAAAACACATGTGATTTGGAAATTCGAATGCCTGAATTTCTGAAAATTTGTTGTGATTCAGAACAAAAATGAATCGCACATGTCTACTCTGAAGTCATGTTGCTGTCAGTTTCTGAACAGCCAACAGCACCTGATGTTTCTTTATAGTAGAAGCCTGGTAGGCTGCCAAGTCTTTGCTGCCTCAAAGTTTGAGGGTGAATTGCTCCAGAGTGCCTGGGGCTACAGGTGTGAGTGAGGGTTTGTTATAACACTCATTTACTGCTTGATAAGGATATGTAAATACTTGACTGGGACAGGTTCATTTTAAGCTTGGGGTTGAAAATGAACCTTAGAATTGTTGGAAAACCTCTCCCAGATGGAGCCAAACGGTTCCTCTTTACATTGATAAGAGAGGAAATAACTGATCACATGTGCACCTAATTTTTCTACTTGGAAATTTGGAAGACGCAGCAACAGCAGCAGGTAAAAGGTGTAATAAAGGTTTGGCAGATGTCTCCTTGACTATTGTTTCAGGGAGACTTCTCCTCGTCCATGACCACCGCAGGCTGGATACACATGATCCCACAGAAGCAAGTATTGCATCCAGGTTCACCATTAGAAGTGTGTGAACAGGAACATTTGATAGTCAAAGCCGATCGATATCACAAAAGGAGATTTTTTTCTTTCAATAAGTAGAAGTAATAGTGGAGGTTTTGCCCATAGCAATGGATTAGGTAAGATCGAGTTCACATTGAGTATTTTGTACTAACAAACCACACTTTTAGCAACCTTTGTGAAATAAATCCATTTTCCTGCCACAACAGCAGCGAAGCATCTGCTTACAAGAAGCTCGGGATGCGTAATTAGCAGAGATTAATGAACCTAAGGAAGCATATTGATAATGGTGCAAACGCATTATGTGGCTGCAAGGGGGAGAAGTGGCTGCGGGGTAATGTGATTTACTAGAACACAATGTAGAAGAAATTTATTCGGCGCTAGGCCAGGCTTGCTGCACAAAACTGGTGATGAGTGAGGTAACGATCTCGGACGTCTCTCCTCCTCTTATGATTTATGTGTCACTACGTCATGTAAAAATTAGCGCACACATTAAACAAGAGTGCAAGTGCAGGATGTGGTTTTAAAATGAAGAGCTGCAGAAATCCATTAGATCTTTATTACATTTTTACCTGTTTCCTTAAAGAGTATCTAAACCCAAGAACAAAAATGTAATACATTACAGCTCGCTCACGGGATGGACTACAATCTCAATACAAATGAGTAAAGTAAACCTGAGATTGTGGTCCATCCCGGGAGCGAGCTTGGAGCGGTGACTACTTTACAACACACACAGGGACCATGGGGAACAAAAGTAGCCCCCCTCCAGAAGGAAGGACAGTGTCAGCACCAATTCAGAGATGATTGGAGGATCTACAGCCGAGTGATACACAAATAAGATACATTGTTGTTCAGAGTTAAGATACTTGAATGTATTTTTAAAGGAGAACTATGAGGGGAGTGCTTTTCACTCACCTCATAGTTCTAGCCGACCTGTGACAATGAGACTGTCACAGGTCGGCTCAGTAGATCGGGAGGTGAGCGAACACATACCGGCGTTCGCTCACCTCTCGATCCTGTCACGGCTCTCTGACATGACAGGGGAGGGACTGGATTCCCCCCTCCCCGCTCCGATCCGCCAGCGCTGACTGTGGTGGAGGACAGGGGAGGGAGCGGGTACAGCTGGCTCTGCCTCTAGATAGGCAGAGCCAGCTGTCAGTCACGCAGCTGGGCGGATCCCGGCACAATTGTTGGGATCCGCTTCACCTGCGGCGTTTCAGTATACCTACGCTACAGCTCTCTGTATACTGAGCCTAGGGTGACGGGAGGACGCTAGTTTGTTTCCCACGTTACCCTAAGGAGAACTATGGGGAAAAGCCCTAACCCCATAGTTCTCCTTTAAGATTTAAAAGAGAACTATGGGGTCAGTGTTTTTCCCCATAGTTCTTAAATTAAGGGTCACGGGAGGACATATACTAACCTCCTCCCATGACCCAAAGCTCAGTATATAGTCACTATGTCGCCCAGAAGAAGGGACCCTGCGTGGCCCTGAAACGTTGGCTGTTTGACGCATGTGACGATTCAATAAAAAGTGCTTTACTTCTTGCACATATCGAGTGTATAGCTCGCGGTATACCAGGCCACAATGTTGTCGAGATCCACCTAGCTGCGTGAATGACAGCTGGCTCTGCCTACATATAGGCAGAGCCAGCTGTGCCCGCCCCCTTCCCCGTCCGTTCCTCCAGTCAGAGCTGGGGGATCGGGGAGGGGTGGAATCCGTGCAGGGAGCCGTGACTGACAGTCACCTTTCTCTGCAGGGAGCTGATCGAGAGATGGTATGTGTTCGCTCACTTCCCGATCTATTGAGCCGACATGTGACAGTTTCATTGTCACATGTCGGCTCAAACTATGAGGTGAGTGATTTTCACTCACCTCATAGTTCTCCTTTAACTCCTGAGTGTAGTGTCACTTTAAGGAAACTGTTGAGAAAAACACAGCTGTATGCATATTTCCTTGGAAACATGAGAGCGGCCTTCTATTATGTTTACATAACCCTTTTAATGACCATATTGATTTACTTGTTTAATGACGGTATTAACTCCAGTGTTTTGTTTCTATTCAGGGAGAAGGAGAGAAGTATGGTAGACATGGACATGGACACACAGTATCTGCAGCAGCAAAGAACAGATGTACCCCGTTTCATAGGAGGGGGATTCCCACTCGGCCACATGCCCAAGATTTCAGCTTAAACTACCTTCTTCTGTTCATCATGAACTATCCCAATAAATATGATTAATCTGCTAGCTGCATATAACTCGCGCTTACATAGCCAAATACACTATATGGCCAAAGGTTGGTGGACGTCTGACTATTAACATTATGGACATCCCATTCCAAACCAGGTGTATAAAATAAAGCAAACCTACCACTAAGGGTTCGTTAAGCAGTACGTTCCGATTCTGGCCAGAACGCACTGCCCTCATTGCGGCCGGCTCACTTTTTTGCCGGGCTGGAGGGGGCATGGCGGGCCATTGAAGTGATTGACACCATAGCCACGCCCTGCGGCCGCAATGCGATCGTCCGCACCGGATCGCAAGGCACAGTGTGCCTGCAGTGCGTTCAGGTGCGGTGCGATCAAAACGCTTTGCGGCCACACGGCGTGGCTACGGTGCCATTTACTTCAATGGCCCGCAACACCCCCTCCAGCCCGGCAAAAAAGTGAGCCGGCTGCAATGCGTGCAGTGCGTTCCGGCCAGAATCGGACCGGTATGCCCTGCTTATGGTGTGAACGAACCCTAAGACATTTCAGACAATTGTGCTCTTCCCACATTGTGGCAGCAGTTTTGGGATGGCCACTTTCTCTTTCAGCATGATTGTGCCCCTGTGTACAAAGCCAGCTCCTTAAAAACATGGTTTGACCAATTTGGTGTGGAGGAACTCAAGTGTAGTGATGAGCCGAACATGCCCGAGTTCGGTTCTAAATTTGAACTTTAGAACATCCAAAAAGTTTGATCTTGAACTCAATGCAAGTCAATGGGGGTAGAACTTTCAAAAACAATTGTCCCCTTTAAGAGGGCTTATATGCAAGTTATTGGCCATAAAAGGTGTATGGGGGTCTGGGTACAAAATGTAAATATCATGCTTGGGGGAACCGCTTAACCTGCCCGTAAAGTGGCGCATCTGTACAATGTCTAGAACCTGCTGCAGCAAAACTTAAATTTCTTAAGAAAAAAATGATTTATTTTTTTTAAAGCGTGCAGTTCCCTCCCAAACAATGCCAGACCCTTTAGGTCTGGTAGGAATGTTAGGAGGAACCAATTTTTTTTTTTTAAAGCGCCCCCCCCCCCAAAAAGTCATACCAGACACTTAAGGTCTGGTAGGAATTTTAGGTGGAACCTCCAGTTAAAAATTTTTTCAAAAAAGTGCGTGGGGTTCCCTTCAAAGATCATGCCAGGCCCCACCACAAAAACGGAAAACAAAAAAATGTGGGGTCTCCCATAAAATTCCCAACCAGACCCTTAATCTGGGCACTGGCCTGGCAGGGCAGGAAAGTGGTCCCCCCTGGAAAATCACCTTGTCCCCATGCCTCTTTCCCCACAACCCTGGCACTGTGGTTGTGGGGGTCTGCAGACAGGGAGGCTTATTTGCATCGGGGTACCCCCTTTCATTAAGGGGGCACCCAGATGTGCCCCCCCTTGTGAATGAGTAAGGGGTGTACCCCTACTCATT